CCGGCAGGGAGTGAGTGGTTGTTACCTCCAGGCAGAAGATGAGTCCCACTCCTTCACCCTGACCAGTGAGACAAACACAGCCACCGTGACGCAGCTGAGTCCTGGCCACATCTACGGCTTCCAGGTGCGGGCGCGGACTGCCGCCGGCCATGGCCCCTATGGGGGCAAGGTATATTTCCAGACACTGCCTCAAGGTGAGGAGTCCTGGATGGGCAGAGGGAGGCCAGAGGGAGTAGTGTGGAGAGGCCTAGGGAATCCCTTGAAGCTTGACCCAGTGTCCTCCAGACCAGAGGCTCTGTGGGAGAGGAAAGTGACTGAGCAGCTGACCTTAGAGGCTATGGTGGGGGAAGGTGGGGGTGTGTATGCGTGTGGTGTGTGCCTGCATGTATGGGGATTGTGGGGCATGTGTGTTTGTTGTGTGTGCATGTAAGTGGAAGTGGGGGGTTGTTATATGGGAGGGGTGTTGTATATGCATGTGTGTGGAGGTGTATGCATGTTGTGTAGATGTGGGGGGGTGTGTTTTGTGTGCAGGTGTGTGGGTGTGGGGGTGTTTGAGAAGTATGGATATATGTTGTATGTGCATATGTGTGGATGGGGTTTGTGGGGGTATATATATATATTGTATGTGGTGTGGATGTGGGGGGTCGTGGGTATGCGGTATTATGTGTGCATGTGTGTGGGTGTGGGAGGCTGTGGGAGTGTGAATATGTGTTGTATGGGTGGGGGAGTTTGGAGGGTGTGTTTGCATGTTGTGGGTATGTGTGTGTTGTAGGCATGTTTGTGGATATGGGGGGTTTTATGTTGTGATTGCATGTGTTATATGTGCTTGTGTGTGGATATGGGGGTTGTGGAGGTTGAAGAAGTATGCATGTATGTTGTGTATTTTATGTGCATGTGTGTATGTGAGGGGTTGTGGGTTTGTTAGTATTGTGTGAATGTGTGTGGGTGTGGGAAGGAAATGTGTATGTGGGTACCTTGGCCTGTGGGCATTGTGCATGTACGCGTGGAGGCCTGGCCCACCTGTGACTCTAATGACTGGTCTCTTAGGGGAACTGTCTTCCCAGCTTCCAGAGAGACTCTCCTTGGTGATCGGCTCCATTCTGGGGGCCTTGGCTTTCCTCCTACTGGCAGCCATCACCGTGCTGGCTATTGTCTTCCAGCGGTGAGCCCCCACCCCCTGCCCAGCCCTGCCAGCGTCACTCGCTCTGCAGCACAATTCCAAGACCTACCATGTTCTGGCAGCCCTGAGCTAGAAACTTCCCACCAGTGCTCCTTCCGCAACCCAACCTGTGTCCTGTGCCCCATAGGGGGGTGGGAGGGAGGGCCAGGCCTGTATCCCCTCCCTCTGCAGATCAGCTGGAGAGCAGCCTGTGAGGGCGGGAGGGGCAACCACAGGGTGGAAATGGGAGTGTTATTCCAGGTTTGGTTTGTCTTTCAGGAAGCGGCGTGGGACAGGCTACATGGAGCAGCTGCAGCAGTACAGCAGCCCAGGTGGGGGTGTGGAGAGGGAATGGACTGGGACTAGGGGAACACGGGGAGAGAGCTGGGGCTCAGGGCCAGGTGCATGCAAGGGGAAGCTAGGTGCCATGAGTTTGAGAAGCTCCTTGGCACCATCTTCCAGCAGTGAGAAGGCGTGTCTGCACCACACCCTCATAACATACCCCACACCCCTTCAGGGCTCGGGGTGAAGTATTACATCGACCCCTCCACATATGAGGACCCCTGCCAGGCCATCCGAGAACTTGCCCGGGAGGTGGATCCTGCATATATCAAGATCGAGGAGGTCATTGGGACAGGTACTACAGGGGCAAAGTGGGGATGAGAGGGACTGGGCTCCCTTGTGGTCCTCCCCCGGTCAGAGGACAGTGTGAGACCTCAGGCCTCCCTGGACCTCCATCCACACGCTACATCTCTGTTCTCCCAGGCTCCTTTGGAGAAGTGCGCCGGGGCCGCCTGCAGCCCCGGGGACGGCGGGAGCAGGCTGTGGCCATACAGGCCCTGTGGGCTGGGGGAGCTGAGAACCTACAGATGACCTTCCTGGGCCGGGCTGCGGTGCTGGGCCAGTTCCAGCACCCCAACATCCTGAGGCTGGAGGGTGTCGTCACCAAGAGCCGACCCCTCATGGTGCTGACGGAGCTTATGGAGCTTGGCCCCCTGGACAGCTTCCTTAGGGTCAGTTCAGCTCAAGTGAAGGTGGAGGGTCCTTGCGTCCAGGAGAGCTTGCAGTTCTTAGCTCTTCCAGGAGACAGGGCCTTATGTTTTTGCTTCTTTCTGCCCTGCCTTCCATGGTCTCCATCCTTCCTTCCCAGGCCATTTTCTGACTCCCAAATCCACATCCCATCAACCCACCCACCCTCTCATGTCGAGGTCTGCTGTACAGTGTGAGGTCTCCTCCCTGTCACTGACCTCTGCCTCCTGCCCCTGCCCCTCAGCAGCGTGAGGGCCAGTTCAGCAGCCTGCAGCTGGTGGCCATGCAGCGAGGAGTGGCGGCCGCCATGCAGTACCTGTCCAGCTTCGCCTTTGTACACCGCTCGCTCTCTGCCCACAGTGTGCTGGTGAACAGCCACCTGGTGTGCAAGGTGGCCCGTCTTGGCCACAGCCCTCAGGTGAGAGCATGGTTCTGGGGGCTTAGCACTCTCAGCAGGTGCTGGAGGATGAGCTGGAATCTGGGGTGGGTACCTCTGGTGGGATGTCATGGTGCCTGATGGGATGGAGGCTCACCTGTAGGATGGGGAGATTAAAGCCTGGGCAGGGTGAAGGAGGGGCTGAAGGATTTGAGGGACCCAGGCAGAGCGGGGTGGTAGGGGACTGGGAAGAGCAGGAGACTGGCTGGAATCTAGAACTACCTCCTACCCTTCCCCCATTGTGGTGATTACACAGACTCAATCAGCACAGCTGGGTGTGGATTCTAAACGCTGGACTCAGGCGCTGTGACCTTTGGGTAAATTTAGGTTTTCTAAGCCTTAGCTTCTGCATCTGTGAAATGGACATACTGCAATGTCATCCACTCTACAGGGCTGTAGGATTAAATGAGATGCTCGATGTAAAACCCTTGATGCATCTGCGTGCATAGTTGTTGCTCAATAAACACAATTATGGCCATGATTGTAACTATTGTTGCTTTTGAATTCACCCCCTCAGAGCCCAAGTTGTTTGCTTCGCTGGGCAGCCCCAGAGGTCATTGCACACGGAAAGCACACGACATCCAGTGACGTCTGGAGCTTTGGGATACTCATGTGGGAAGTGATGAGTTACGGAGAACGGCCCTACTGGGACATGAGTGAGCAGGAGGTGAGCACTGATCTAGACATTGCCGATTCCCCACCCTGATCTCTCCTAGGCTGGAACATTCTAAGACCTGCATCCTATAATCCAATCACATGCTAAGATCTCCTGGCTCTTGGATTCCACATCTTTGAGATCTTTCTCCACTCCAATCTCATACTCCGTTGGAGCCTAGCAATATACTCCCCTCCACCAGCAACAGCTTCCCATTATCGTAGTTTTCCTCTGACCTGCAGGTACTGAATGCAATCGAACAGGAGTTCCGGCTGCCCCCACCTCCAGGCTGTCCTTCTGGACTACATCTGCTTATGTTGGACACTTGGCAGAAAGACCGTGCCCGGCGGCCTCACTTTGACCAGCTGGTGGCTGCATTTGACAAGATGATCCGCAAGCCAGACACCCTGCAGGCTGGCGGGGACCCTGGTGACAGGTCTGGAGCTTGGGGCTGGAGCCCGGGAAAGCCAGGGAGGGTAGATGCAAACCAAAAAGAAAACTGAGAAGGGCTAAAACAAAGAAGAGACCTTGACCTGCTTGCCCCTCCCCCCAGACCTTCCCAGGCCCTTCTGAACCCTGTGGCCCTGGACTTTCCTTGTCTCGACTCACCCCAGGCCTGGCTTTCGGCCATTGGACTGGAGTGCTACCAGGACAACTTCTCCAAGTTTGGCCTCTGCACCTTCAGTGACGTGGCTCAGCTCAGCCTGGAGTAAGCAGGGGGAGGCGAGGTGGGGACGGATGCCCTGGGCTCCCGGCGAGGGGTCAAATTGGGATCTCAGAGAAGCTGGTCCAGATCTGATCCCCTCCCTCCCCACCAGAGACCTGCCTGTCCTGGGCATCACCCTGGCTGGCCATCAGAAGAAACTGCTGCACAACATCCAGCTCCTGCAGCAGCACCTGAGGCAGCAGGGCTCGGTGGAGGTCTGAGGCTGGGGCAGGAAGCCATGAATTGACGATACCCATGACACGGGTCCAAGAAGGACCATTTGTGACTCGAGCCAGACTCCATCTTAGCCTCCGTGAGAGACGCCCACACCGAACCCAGCCCTCCTCTGGAAGGACACTGCTTTCCCCAGTCCTCCCAGGCTCCCCACATTAAAGGGAAAGAAGGGAATTTGCAAGTTCAGTGTGGTGAGGCCTCAGTCTTCAAGGAAGGGCGAGGGCCACCTAGCAGGAGGAGTGGAGGGGAGAGGTGGGCAGGTGGCACCGCAGAGATGCAGAATGGGAGTGGTGGGGCAGGGAGCAGGAAACAACTTTATTGGACGGTGGAAGGTGGCAAGACTCAACCCCGCTTCACCCCATCCCCTGAGCAGTGTCTGTCTCCCTCACACTCCTCTCCACAAACTCCATGCCTCCCTGCACCTATCTGGGGCACCCTGGGAAGGGCTCTCTCCCTTCCCACTTATGACACTGGGGTAGAGACTGGATGCCTGAAAAGGCCAGGCTGTCCTTAAAGTGTTCTGATGTGCAGTGGTGCTGCTGGAAGGAGTGGAGGAGTGGAGGACGGGCAGCAGGCGGCTTCCTCACGTTCCTCCAGCCTTATGCATTAGGGTTGAAGTGTGGACCACCGTGTGGGGTTCCATCTGCCCCAGAGCTGGAGGGGCAGTGCAGGCCTGGATCAGTTATTCTTCACGTTCTCCACATGCTTTCCTTGGAGTTCATGTTACTCCCTTCTCCCCCTGGGACTTGGGAGATTAGGCCTCTAGGTTTTTGGTTTTTGTTTTGATGCCCCCAGAAAAATGAGAGCAGGTTCTGGGAAACCAAGCAAGTATACACACTCAGTCAGATCTGGTATTCCCAGCCCTCCCCGTCTTCCAGACCCCTGTTGATCATTCCCCGCAGGTCCCTCCTCAGGGTCCCTTGTCGAAGTCTTTCCCAGTTGGCGCTGCTGTGGGAGGTACTTCGAGACACTGAGGGTGTAGGGAGGGGTAGGTGGGGGCTGAAGGGGCGGCCCAGCTCCAGCTTTTCCACTGAGTCTTTGTCCAAGTCCTCAGAGCCCAGGTTGTGGAAGGCCTGTGCATAACGTTGGATGCGCTGCCGGTTGAGATCCTGCCTGTCTTCCACCCTGTGGAGTGTGGGGACACTTGAGAGATAGCCAGGAGTTGAAGAGCAGGGCCAAGACAGATGCTGGTCACCCAGCCCCCCAGCCCCAACCCACTGTTGTTGGCCTTTTTGCTTCACTGCAGTTGGTGTGGGTGCTGGGGCTACCAGGCCCATGGCAGCCAGGCCTCAGAAAGCAGCAGGCTCTGGTTCACCAGCTCCGTGGGTGCTTTGAGGTGTCCAAGCTGCTAACTGAGGCCCATTCCTCATCAGCTCCATCAAGGGGGATGGGGCGTAGGGAGTGCCTAGGCCTCCACAGGGTCCTTGGGAACAGGAACTTGTTCAAGCAGAGGAGTACCTTGCAGATGAGGCTACTCAAGGGATGCCCACCCCTGCCTGTCACTCACCGGAGAAACCAGCGGTCCCCCAGGCCATACTCGCGCCCACAGATCCCAGAGCGAGGCCACAGGCAGCGAGGCAACTTCCTCTCCAGCATCACTGTGGTAGCCACGACCTGCATGTGGGGACAGAAGGGGAAGTCAGAGATGAGGGTGGGTGCAGACTGAGAAATGAGAACTAGACTGACAAGGGAAGGAAGGGATGCAGGGACAGGATCTCTGGGCAGAGGATGACAGTCTAGCAACAGTGAGGAGACTCAGGAGCTCATGGTTTCCCTGGGTGATGGGCAACACCCATGATCTGGCAGTTGGTCTTTTTTGGCCCTCTTCTGTGGGAGATAGTTGATGGGACTTGAGACCCACGATTCTTCACCCAGTGACCGGACATTCATGGCAAAGCCAGGTGGGATGCGGGAGGAATGTAGGAGGTAGAAAGACCAATTTCAAGGAGAATAGGGGCCAGTACAAACACAAAGAATAGGGTCTTAAGGGCTCCTGGATATTTTGACCTTCCAGACTTAAAGGCCACTTAAAATTATAAGCATCCCACTTAGGATATCAATATATATTCATGGAGAAAATAATTTCCTGAGCAAACCATATTCAGCCAGCTTAGGTTTTTTTAACTGTTTTCAACATGACACAGTTAAATGCCTTATAGTTTGGGGAATTTCCGTCTTTATTTTGCAAAATTATTTGACATAAATTATTCTCTAAGTATATGTTTTTAATGAGGATTCTCTAAGTATATGTTTTTAATGAGGATTTGATTCATCTAATGGCCTTCTATCTCCATCGTGATGATCTGACTGAAGATAGCTTCTGCTACAACAGGAAGTTTCTGTGGCATTTTTAACATGTCCAGCTTTCTGGGCCAAATTTTGCAGACCTAAATATTGCCAAGAAGACTTGACACTCCAGTATTTATTTGGGAACAAAATTATTGAATGCAGTTTTAGTCGCCATTAGCTTTATTTCCTGTGGATTATTCTTGAAAAGACTGAGGTTTTAATTGTTGAGAAAACTATGAGGAATGCTCAGTAATTCCAGCATTTCTCAGTTGCACTGTCTGTACACTTTGCATGATTTTACATACTTTGCCACAACTGTCCCAACATACTTAGGGCCAAATTATCCTGCTTCTCTTTGAACTTGGCCAGTTCCCTGGCAAGAAGAGGACGCCTTGCACTAATCCCCCCAGCCACCAGGGGCTCACCTGGGCCCTCCAGAGCTCATCTCGCTCATGGGCCACTCGCCAGTGCGTGTCGCCCATCATGGCAATGAGCAGGTTGAGCATGAGCAGCGTAGCAATAATGCCGAAGGCGGCGTAGGTGATGCAGTACATGAAAGGCAGATCCACATCATAGTTGGCGGGACCGTCAATGATGGTGAGGAACAGCTCGAAGGTGCTGAACAGGGCCATGGGGTAGTCATAGAAATGGCCCAGCTTGCCAGGGTCCTCTGTCTGGAAGATGATATAGAAGGCTGCTCCACCCAAGGGGGTGAGGGTTACCATGGCAACCACATAAGAGACCAGCCCACATCCAGCTCTTTGCTGTCACTTCCATCTTGTTCCCCTCATCTCCAATATCACCATCCACGCTTCAGATTCTTATGGTTCCTTATTTTCTACACGGCTCACCTTAATTCCAGGAACCACCTCTTCCTAACACTCCCAATTTTCCTGTCCTCTGAGGGACATCCCATCCTCAGACATGGGACAGCCCCCTCTGAATTCTGCCTTCCCTCTCTTCCCTAAGTTTAGCCAATGGCATTCTGCACTCCCTGGGTTTCCTTAGCTTCTCCCTTCCAAGGGCCCTCATCCCGGACAGATTATTTACCTGAAGCAAAGCCCAGGATGACCACAGCCATCAACCAGCAGAATCGCATTAAGTCACCAAAAATCATCTAGAGAGAGAAGGCAGCAGAGAGAATATCTGCACGCATTCCTTGTGCAGTTACCCATCCGACCTCTGACAGGTCTAACCCCTGTAAGTCTTATAACTCTGCCCTCTGGGACAGAGGTTGACAAATTATGGGGCCAATCTACCTGATCTGTTTGGGTATGGTCCTTGAACTACAAAGGTTTTCTACATTTTTAAAGGATTGTTAGAAAAGAAAATGCAACAAGACCATGTATGGCTCGTGATGCCTGGAATGTTTACTATTTGGTACTTTATGGAATTAGTTGCTGATCCCTGCTGTGAGGCCATTCTCTAGGAAGCCTGAGGGGAAGGCACTGACCTTCTGGATCATGATGGTGAAGGGACCCAGCATCTGGAATCCTCGGGCAAAGTACATGACGTTGCACCAGCCCAGCACCAGGGCAAAGGACATAGGCACCACCTCTCCGTTGGCATTGGTGAGTCGCATCACCATAGTCACCAGCACCATGAAGGCATAGGTGATGCTGGGGGGAAGCAGGGAAAGGGGTGATGAGGGAGGGCTGGGATGATCCTGGGGACACAGCAGCAAGCATGTAACTGGGACAACAGCCACACACTCGGATTCATTTCCCCCCACTCAGTACACAGGGTCACACATGCAACACTGGAGAAGAACCTCTGGAGCTAAGATTCTCTAGAGGTCAGGAATCCAGGGAGTGGAACTAGAAAGGGATGTAGGTGAGAGGAAGGAGACTCACATAAGGATATGAAATGGCCCCCCAAGGATGGTCTGTCCAAAGAAGCGAGTGACCCCCATCCTGAAGATGTCTGGGATCTGGCAAGAAGTTGGGGAGACACAAACTTGTGGACCAGAGCTTGGGCTGGATCCCTGGAGCAGACAGTCTCACCTGGATCCCATCCACACCTCACCTCTACCAGCAGGATGATCATAGCCCCAATAACAGTCACCAGCTCCCCTACCAGCCGGATGTCATCCTTGGGGGTCACGTAGGCTTCCTGAAGGGGGAGTAGGATGGTCAAAGAACTTAGGGCTTCAAAGTATCTACCCTGTATGTTCCTGGTGCCTAAGTTCACCAACCCCATGGAATGCTTTACAGCCTGTTAGGTTCAGCTATTCTCAAGCTCTGCTCTTAGAGTAAGAGCGTATTTCCATGGGTATATGTTTTGAGTTTGTAACCATATTTCTGAGATCGGAATGAGGGGAAAAATGTGGGTGTGAGGACAGAAAAGTGCTACCAGTCCAAGAAAGAGCAGAGTGCTGAGCCCTGCCCTTCAGATCTGCTACTCCCAAAGTGTCACCTGAAGTAGCTTCTGCTGCAAAAGGGTATTGTCCCGGGGGTTGGTGTGGTTACTGGTCCTGGGCTTGAGGGGGCGGTAGATGCAGCACATGGTGAAACAGATGATGTACAGCAGGTATATGGCCCCCAGCACGCAGAAATATGGCCGCCCATACCTCTTCCACTTGAGGCTCACCAGCTCCTTCACTGGTGTCTGGTCCAGAATCTGGCGGGCCTGCACAGAAGGCAGAGCAGGCAGCTCAGAGACCCAGCACCCCTCACCAGTCACACTCTGCCGTGAAGACCAGTACCTCTCGTTTCTTGGTGGTGATGATGAGTTCCAGCAGGGACTGCTCATCCCCTGAAGAGTCGATCTCTGTGAGGTCGTAGAGGGTGGAGCTCAGCGGCCCGTATGCCCATTGAATGTGCTTCCGTTTCTGCATCAGATGTTGGAACATCTAAGGGAAATAAGAGATGACTCAGGAGCACCATGCAAAGGGGCCAGCCACAGAGTGTGGATGGGAGGCATGTCCAAGTGGACAGCACCACTGGGAGAAAGCAATTGTTCTCCACAGCTTTTAGAGAGCAGAAGAACTCATATTCAGACCAGCGTTCCAGGTTCTTCTCTGCCCCCCATGACGCCCACCAGATCTTGGGAAAGCAGGATGAGAAGCTGAAGGGCGTTTTCTAGGGGCTGAAAGGATAGGTGGGCCTTGGAGTTGTAGACAATTCTGGTGCAATCTAGACTCTAGAAGCCCTCAACACTTTGGGGGAGAAGATGTGGACAAGAAAGGGACGAGATGATAAGAAAGAGGTTGAGAAAGAAATACCAATCTGAATTGAGAGTGGAGCCTAAGGAAAGTGTGTTCACACCTATTTCCTCTCAGGACCAGCAGGGTAGGGTGAATCATTAGAAAGACACCTTGGGGATGGGGCGTGTCCCTCACCACAGTGTTGCCCTCCACTCCGGCCAGCTTGAAGGGAGTGAGACCCTGGTGATTGGGCACGAGGTCTAGGGGCTGCAGGTGGTCCCTGCATCCATCGTAGGACAGCAGCAGGTTGTACATCTGGCAGGCGAAGGTTTTGTTGGGCTGGAGGGTGAGGATGTGCAACACCGTGTTTCCTGGAGAGGACACAGGATATCATGTGGCCAGGGGTCTGATGTCCTCAGCTCCACCCTGGGATTAGCTTGAGGGCTGTCCCAGACCATCCCCTTGCCCCCCTGCAGCATCTCAGCTTCCCTCCCCAACCCAGCTGTTACCCAGAGAGTCCTGGGCCCGGACATCCGCTCCATGCTCAATGAGCAGCCGCACAATCTCCTCACTGCTCACGCAGGCAGCAAAGGACAAAGGGTGCTCCCCTGGGGACAGAGCACAGGAGAACACAGGATGGCAGAATGGAATGGGCAATCTCACCAAGGGATAGCATCCTCCTCCTCACTCACATCTCAGCTCGGTGCTTGGGGACACTTGTCAGGCAGAACCAGAGAAAGGGCCTAGGGGGAATCGGCCTCTGACCTAATGAAACCCTATAAGGGCTGCCACTCCCCGCTGCCTGGCAGATGGAGCTGAGGGCAGGGCCCTCCTCTGCCCACCCACCCTTTGCCTTTGCCCCTTCCCCATCTGCCCGTCCTCCCAGCCTGGCCCTGCTCTCACCGAAGTAGATGAGGTTGTGGGAACTGCGGCGGAAGGCAGTGCCTGTGGCTCTGGCAGAGACACTAGCCCCACGGGCAAGCAGGGCTCGCACCAGGTTCACGTTCTGGTTCACAACAGCAATGTGCAGTGCAGTCTGACCTGGCCCAGAGACAGATGTCAGTCACGGTCTGTACCTGGGGTTTCTGTAGGGTATCTCTCCCATGTACTTCCTTGGTCTTTTTCCCCAGGGGCAGCCTGGAATGGAGAACAGGGAGCCCTGGGTGTTCAGGGTTCTCAGGGGATCCAACTGCTGCCCATCTCTTCCCCTTCTCTAGGCCCTTGATATTTTAGGGGTCAGGTATTCTGATATTGCACTGTCAGGAATGATAAGGAAGAAGGGAGACAGAGAAGAGAATAAATGGTAGGGAGGTTCAGATCTCCTCTTTGGTTTTCCCCAATATCCACCAGGGTCTGACTTGAAATATCCAACAGGTCCTTCCTGCTGTCTCCAACCTGGGCCCTGGGTCTCTCACCCTCATATAGCTCAGATGTCATGGGCTCAAAGACCAGCTCTGGGGCAGCTTCCATCAACACCATGGCAACCTCCAAGTTGTCATAGAGGGCTGCTACATGCAGTGCCGTCTCCCCCATGGCTCCTGGCAATTACAGAAACAAGAGTCCTTTGGTGTCTATGGAGCAGGGGAATGGGGACGATACGGATTCAGGAGCCCACAGCATGAGCCCTGTGTGTGGGGCTTACCCAGGAGATGCATACCAGGGCTCTGTCTCTTACCTCTCTGGTGCACTTCACAGGTCTCATACTTGAGCAGCTTGTTCAGGGTCTGGACATTGTTCTCTTTGGCAGCTAGGAGGAGAGGAGACTCCCAGATCCTACAGAAAAATGGGACAACAGTGAGCATGCCCAGTGGTGGGACAAAGGGCTGTGCCTTCGTTCTGTAATACACAGCTTTGTGCGCCTCAGCAGCAGCGAGCCCCAAGGTTTTGGCCCAAGGCAGGCAGGACTATTGAAGGACAAAGACCCCCCCAATGTCTTTTCTCCTGAGAGGCAGTTAACGCAAATCAAGCTTTTGCCCATTGAGCGCATGTGGGAGATTGTTTATGACCGGTTTCCTATCCCTTGGGGTGCTGCGACCAGAAGGTACCACGTGTGAATGTATTATCTGCGCATTTCAGGTGAGGGGGAATGAGTTCAACATGCATTCACCTCCTGACTGGTTTACCCCTGGAGTGATCTTGTTTCAGCCTCACTAGGCACCCTGAGATTGCTCTCCAGGATAAGCCTTGTTTTGCATGGACTTGGGGTACAAGGAGTTCCCCTCTCAATTTGTGGAGGAGGTCATACACAGAGGTCAGCAGATTTTCTCCTGTTGCTTCAGGCTCTGCCTACTCAAACTTCTCAGCAAAACCCTTTGATATTGTGCTTTCCTCCCTATAATACCATCTTCAGGGAGCACTCCAAAAGCAACAGTGGCCCATAAGATCAAGCCTGGCTCCAGGCTTCCCTTCCTTGTGGGCATGAATCCATCCATTAACTCATTCTCTCTCTCTGTTTCTCTTCTTTCCTCTCACATCCTAATCTCTACAGCCTTCCTTCTTAAGGTGGACGCCGGGATCATCAGCATCACTTGAGCTTTTCTAAGGAATGTAAACTCTCAGGGCTGCCCTTTGACCTAATAAATCGAAATCTGCAGTTTGAGAAGATCCCCTGCTGATTATTATGCATGTGAAAGTTTAAGAAGCATTGTTCAAGTCAGTAGTTGTCTGAGTGCAGTTCCTGCTTGTGAAAACCTGTAGAAGACATCAGAAGCAATCTCAGGGATTTCTGTTTACAGATAGCTTAAAGTTTGGGAAGCAATGTTCTCTCCATCATTCTCAGGCTAGCTACCTATAGGGTCTTCAATGTTACTTATTTTTGTCTATTAGCCCCTATGATATAAACTATGGTCAACAATGATTAAAAACAAGAGAATCCAATTTAGAGGATTTATTTTCTGAATTTCATGTGGATCTGAATGCTCCCATTCTTCCCTCTGACACTTCTTGGGTTTATTCAATTTTCGATTCACGAAACTTTTTTTTTTCCTGGTCCCTAAGTCAGATTTGTCTCTACTCACATATCATCTGCTTCTCACTTGTTCTATACAAACTTTTCTTTCCTGACTCCTCAGATCATCTTTCTAGTCTTGTTTCTACAATGAACTAAAAATCTCTTTTAAAATCAGATCTTATTGCAATGAAGACACACGGATCCCTTTGATTCAGTTTTCTATCTCAGTCTGGAGCAATTTGGTCTTTCTTTGGGAGCAAATGAAATAACCCTTATTCATAGATGGCTGGTTGTGACATAGAAAAAGACACAGACAGGTGCTCACATCCTGAAGTGCTAGCAATGGCAAGAAACCGACTTCAGAGCTGGGGATGGGAGGGTAATCAGAGAGGAGACATGGGCTCACACATCTCCCCTGCCCTCCCCACATGCACAGACAGGGGCGGCCACCAGGCCTTGGCAGTTCAACGTCAAAAGCCCTCTCTCTCCATTCTCTCCTTGTCCCTGCTAACTTCTATTATTTCATGTCCTCAATATTCAGCCCAAGATAGCAAAATTTTTTTTTTTTTTTTGAGTTGGAGTATCACTCTGTCGCCCAGACTGGAGTGCCATGGTACGCTCCTGGCCACCGCAGCCTCAACCTGCTGGGCTCCAGCCATCCTTCTGCCTCAGCCTTCCAAATAGTCAGAACTACAGGCACACGCTACCACACCCAGCTAGTGTTTGCTTTATTGTAGAGATGAGGTCTTGCCAAGTTGCCTGGGCGGGTCTCGAACCCGCGGCCTCAGGCAGTCTGCTCGCCTTGGCCTCCCAAAGTGCTGGGATTACAGACTGAGCCACCGAACACAGCCAGCAAAATATTCTTATAACCAGCTTCCCTGTACCCTGTCTACCCCCAATCCATCCTTATTGATGCTGCCAAGATAATCTTTCTAAACGCCAAATGTGAAAGTCCAATGGGTCCTTGAATGCTTGAGGATAAGGAACACAGAGCCCTTTACGGTCTTTGTGCAACTACTTTTCACCCTCTGCTCCTCCCACCATTCCTTATACCCAGCATTTTGGTCCCACCACACACCTCAGCACCACAGAGCACACCACTTTCCCTGTGTCTGTGCCCATGGAACTCCTTCCTCCTAGACTCCAACTCCCCCAGCCCATCCATTGTTCATTGTTTCTTCTGCACTTCCCGTGCCTAGAAGTATGCCTATCATGGAGTAGATGCTCACTGACTCTCTCTATAGAATGAATGATACAGGAGCTATGCCAGAAGGTGGTTTGGCTTTACAGCCCCTCTTTATTGTCTCTATCAGCCACCCCTAAGCCAAGCTTATGCAAACATATAATTGAAGTAAAAAATAGTATGCTTGGTATGCAAACACAGCTGCAAAACAAGTTTTCTATGTCCTCTTCACCACTATCACCACTCCAGCAATTGCCCAAATCCTTCTTCTGTATGTATCCTGGGACAGGCGTAAGAATGGGGAAAAAACAAAGAGAGCTTTCCCCAGCATACCATTCATTCTCATTCTCTCTCTCTTCCTCTCTCCTCTCTCTCTTCCTCTTCCTCTCCCTCTCTTCCCCTCCACTCCTTGCTCTTCAACCCTTGTCTGATTATTTCCCAGTTTGGTGCTCCATTGTGACCAAACGTGTGAAAGGTTAAAGGCAAGTCTGGAAATGGATCTAAGGGGATGCCTTAGCCAAGTCCAGAGTTCTGCTCCCTGTGTCCTAATATATAGTGATGGCATGGCCATTGGCAGGCACAGAGAGTTCCCTTTAATCCACACACATCTCCAAAGCCCTACGTTCCCCCCATAAACCTCCACTCCCTATGTATTTCTTTTCTAGCATCTGCTGACTCCTTAGTGACCTGGGGAGGACAAGGAGGCTCACACCTAGGGTTTCAAGATTTACCAAATAAAAATACAGGATACTCAGTCAAATTTGAATTTTAGATACTATTTTTTTTTTTTTAGTGTAACTATGTCTCACACAATATTTGGGCCATACTTATACTAACAGCTTATTCCTTATTTACCTGAAATTCAAATTGAATAAGGTATCGTGTATTTTATCTGGAAACCTAGTCAGACCACTGCCTGGGTGAAGAACTAGCTTGTGACCCAACATAGCAAGATTTGTAGAAAACTGACCTCCTCTGGTTGCAAACTCCAGAATCCAGCAAAAAGGGCGGCCAAATGAATCAGGCCAAGCCATTACATGCACTAACATCCTAGAGCCACAAGGGGACAGCAGAGACATCCCTAGCTCACATTCTTGGCAGTTAGGCTGACTCCAAGGAACCCAACTGTGGTTGGCCTCCACAAAGGAGGTGCATAGGGCAGGCCTATCCAAAGAGCCTTGTGTTTAGGGCACGAGTAATTTCTTTGTTAGAAACCCATCATAGGAGTTTAGATCACAACTAGGGGGGCAAAGGACAGGGACACTGCTTAGCATCCTGCTCAGGATAACCGCCACCACAAAGAATCATCCTGCTCCAAATGTCAATAGTGCCAAGATGGAGAAACCCTGATTCAAAGGTACATTTGCGATGCAGTTTAAAAAAAGGATTCTTCACACTAAAAAGAATCAGAAATTCTCTATACATAAAAAATGTTTTCTTGTGGATCACTACTCAACTAAGGGAGAAACAAAAAGGTAAAGCCTTTCAAGTTTCCACTTATTAAGTAGAAAAAGAAACTATAGAACTCTGAAATTATAACAATATGAAAGGTGTTTTCAGGTTCCTGACTGTTTTATTTCACTGGGCAATTAATTATAATACAATTGAACAGCCTAGTTCAATATTAAACTGGTGGAAAACCAACAATGGGGTACCTGGCACAAAACCTGGTACATGTTTTGTGAGTAAATGAATCCATGACCTCTGAGCCACCAAGTGGGGATCCCTAACCGCCCCCCCCATCTGCAACCATACCCTACTCTGTTTTCCCATCCTTGTGAATGTGTGTGCTGTCTTCATGAATCTGGTTCAGTTTTTAGTTACTGGGAAACAAGTCAGGATCAAGAGAGCCTGGAAAAAAGTTCAAATCAGACTTTTAGAGGTAGAAAGTCCCCAGAAATTGAATCTAATCTGTTCACGTAACAGATGGAGAAAACAAGTCAGAGGCCGAGCTGGGATGAGTGCCCCATTGGGCATTTCCCCATCCTATTCTCCATGTTAATCATTGCTGGAAGAGGGGTTAGAGAAGACAGGGGACTGTGGGGACAGGCATGGGTCCCGCTGGGCTCTCCATGAGCACAATTGGATGCCCTCTTTGGGTGGTCTCTCAGACAACTGGATGCCCCCTGTGGGTGGGCCTGAGGCTGGTATTCAACATGGCGGCCGGGAATACATACTGCTCATGTTTCCAGGTGGATATAGTTCTGTTCAGAGGAAGATCACAGCCCCTCTAATTCCCACCTTTTCAGTTTCCAAAGCAGCATCTCAATGATTATTTTTGCTCTTTACAACCCTGTAACACAGGCTGAATGATTCTTCTGTATTTCAGAAAAGGAAACTGAGGCGGCATGGCCAAATTATTGCCAGATCACACAGAGTTAAAGGCAGGATTCTCAGCCATGAATCTAGCCCCAGGCTCTTACCACTAAATTATGTGGTTCTTCTAGTTTTATGACTCCTCCTAATTTTTCTTGGGGGTTGGGGGACAGGCCTGAGCAGTGACCACAGATGAAGGAAAGGGCAGTCATGTGTGGGGTGGAGGCATACTTGGGCACCTATGGGCCACCTCCTTTCAGCTCAGGCTCCTGGCAATGGGATCAGGAAGCCAAAACCCCAGGGAAAGTGACTATTTAGAGACTTGGAGTCAGGCTGCCTTCCTAACTGCCACTGCTCATTGTACGCATGTAGTAGACATATGTGGATTCAAGCAGGCGTGTGTGTAGCTTTATAGAGACAGGAGTGCACAAGATACTGGAGAGTCCCAGGAAGGACTTGCAGACACTGTAGTTCACATGTATTCATGCAGTTTTCTATCTAACCACAGGAAAAGCTTTGAATGTACCGCCTCCCTCCAAACTGTTCCGTGGGAGACAAAGTGCCAGCATGGGAGCCTGGGGGTTCAGGTTAGGCAGCCTCTGTGAAGCTGCCTAGTACACCCCAGAGCAGCCAAAAATCAGATACCTCAACTTCCTCCTCTATGCTTCCAGAACACCAATTCTTATGGCATCCACCAAACTCACCTTTTTTTTCTAAAAGTAGGATTTATTAAGAAGACAGAAAAGCTCCCACAGTGGGAGGGGACCTAAAAGAGGCCCCGAACTCACTTTTAACCCAAGAACATGCCTATTGGTAAGTTTTGCCCATTGGAACAAGAGCTCCCTGAGAGTGGAGAATGGGTCATGTTAATTTCCTACAAACACGGTAGAGTGCCTTATGCTCAATAAATGTTTAATGCATTGAATATCAGGAAATGAGAAAATCCAAGCCCAAAGGAGCAATGATCTGGAGGAAATAGAAGGAAGTTGAGGGCTCAGCTTGGACCCCACCAATGTGGACTTAGGGGGAGATAGCTGCATGCTAAGACCCAAGAAGTCTACTATGAAGAGAAGTATTGGGTTTCCCATCATCCTGGAGAGACTTTAAAGCCTTCCATTCTCACTGCCATCCTCTCCCTCACAGTCTCCCTTGGCACAAATTCAGCTTCACAATTACTGGCTCTGGGGCTCCAGGCCTGCCCCATTCATAGAAGAATAACAGGCCTACCTCCCATGGGCTACTGTTGGGATTACAGGAGATAAGGCAGGTGGTGGTAAGTAGTACAGTATTGGGTTCTCAAACCATTGCTTGCTCCTTTCTCCCATCAGCTCACCCCTCACTTGTTCATATTATTCCTATTCACAAGGTCATCCCATGTTTACCTAGTTTTCCCATGTTTCCCCTTTGGTTGACTAGGCAGACTAGGAAACTCCCCTTTCAGGAAATTTCAGCATCCTTCTGGGAAGTGCCACCGACAGGGGAATCAGTGCTCAAGAAGAAGAAGCCCAAGAAACTATGGAAGCCGATGGGGAGAGCAGGGCAAGGAGCAGGGATCCCTCCAAATGGTGACATTAGGCCTCTGTAGCCCAGGGCTGCAGAGGAGGCCCCCCAGATGGTCTGAAGAAAAGGTGTGGGCAGACAAGGCACAGGAAGCAGCCCACTCTCAGCCAGACTGCACCTCAGCCCAAGGCCTCCACTCCCCTGACACTGCACACAGGGAACCTCCACCACCCCTTCCAAAGGGGCCTTTCTCTTCCCGGCTCCCCCAGCCCTGGGGTCCTAAGAGTGGGAAGTGGTGCCAGTGATGACCTTCTCTCTAACAACAGTGCTGCTCTGTTGCCCCAAGATGTCATCGGCTAAACATGTGCTCCAGCCCCTACTTTCTCAGGCCTTAGGGGAGAGGTGGGTGGCTGGTGTGAGAGATGGGAAGTCACCACTCACACAAGGAACACATCCCCAGCCCAGAATCCCTGAGCAAAAGAAGAGAAAACACAGAGGCCCAGGCAGCCTCCGGGCCAGGCTAAAGCAGGGCTCGTTTCTGGAGATGAAGAAAAATCTTAAGACAAAAAAACATCAGGCTTTCCTCTGAATAACATAGTGTCTGCCTCCTTAGGAGCTCAGGGAGAGGCCCAGAAGTCAGGGTTTCCTTCTAGCTAGCGTGTCACCAACTAGGTGGGGAAATCCACTAGAGACCTTGAGGAAAAGACCACATGCGGGAATGAAACCAAGTTTCCTCAATTTCCCCCTCCTCTCCTGCTGCTTACTCTAACTCTAGCTGCCAGGGAAAATAAAGCAGCAAAGGAGTTTAGGGAAGTTTTCAGGGGCTAGAGGCAATGAGTGAGATTTCCTTAGGCTTGAACTCTGGAGCCTCTCAAATTCTTCAACCCCAAGGAGAATGGGTGAGCACTGGTCCTAAGCACATCTGCTGTTTTGGCTGGTCACATATGCCCCCTACACCCTGCCGATAGAAATAAACCCCAGGACTGGTCCAACCTCTGTTGGTCTTCATATACCCTCAGCATATGGCATAGAGTAGGACTTTGGTCAATGTCTGATGAAATCAATACACAGGAATAGTAACCGTTTTTCACATTTTGTCTTATTTTATGGTTTCTCGTTTCTGTAGTTCTCTCTCTACTCCATTCATTCAATCGTTCATTCATTCCCACATGCAGGCATATATATGGGAGGGATTAGGGTTCTGCCAGGGAAACTGTTCTAGGGGCAGGAAGAGACACAGAAGGCACTGTCCTGACCTGCCAGCCCATCTTGGGTGAGGGTTTATGATACCTTATCCTTACAAGGCCCAGCAAGGCACCTGGCTTTTAGAGACATACTTACAAGAGGCTTGCAGAATTGCGCTGAATCTGAAAGATAGTGAACACCTGTCCCATCTACCCCACTCCTCTCTTACCTGACATCCTGGGGCACCAGTCACAGAGACTGGTAGGCCGAGACTGGAAACAAAATGCAGCAAGGAGCCAGCCTGGGCACGGGAGCACAATCTGTCCAGCCAGAGGTGGTAGTGAAGCCCAGGAGGTGGGAGGAGGGTGGGGGTAGAGTTCCAAACCTGGGGAGGAGGGAGGGGAGCAGAGCAAGCGAGGCTTACCGCTTCTGCTGCAGCAGGTTCTGCTCATCTCTGCTCTGAGCCCAAGACTCCCGTCTCTGGAACCATCTGCAGAACTTTCTCCATATGCAGAGAATTAGCCCCTTCTCCTTGGGCAGTGATAACCCCATGGGGTGTAGGGCCGGCTCCTTGGGGGGCTGAGGCCGAGGCCAAACCCCAGCTGGACTCAGCCTTGGGGCCACATTGGTCCCCCCAAGGGCCGGCCTGCTTCCTCCCTGTAGAGGTCCCGTCTCCGTCTTCAGCCTCCCGGGTTAGTTCCCTGGGAGCCTCTGGTGGCTGCCCCAGTCAGTCTAGAGAGGGCTCTGGGGTTTGTTACACTTGGCAGAGCCAGCTGGGACTCTCTTGGGCTGGCCTGCCTGGAGCTCCTGCTGGGAGTGAGCAGAAGCTGTGCAGACACTCCCTCCCTCCTCCCAAACTACCTGAGATTTAAAGAGACAGGCCAGGGCACAGACCTGCCTACCACGGGAACCTGGCGTCGATTCCAATTCTTTCTCCATCCAGGTTTCTCTCCCTGTCCCTGGGTCAATCACGACAGGGGAGGTCTTCAAAGAGGTTGGTGAGGTTGCCCTTGGACTTGGAGACATTCGGTGGATAACCTTCTCTGGAAAAGGCTGGACAGGTCAAGCAAGGCTCAGAGACTGGAGGCAGTGAGGGAGGGTAGGAGGAGTCAGGGCAGGCCCTCTCAGGGTTGGGGGCCCAGGAGTGAGGGTCCCACCTTGTGACAGTGCCTTTCCTGCCTGACTTTTTGTCTCCCCCTACTTATGTCTTGGGGGCTTCAATTTTCTTGACTCTTCCAATTTAACCTCTTACTTGACCCAGAATAGGTATATACTTAGTGAAGATTCTTCATTCTTCCCAATCCTCCTCTCAGTTCCCTCATCATCTTTGGGCCAGCAGGCTTTTTCTGTAAAGGGCCAGATAACAAGTACAAATATTTTAGGTTTTGCAAGCTGTATATGGTCTCTCATGCACATTCTTCTTTGGTTTTGTTGTTGTTTTGTTAACAATCTTTTAAAGATGTGAAATTCATTCATAGCTTAACCAGCTAGGGCACAAAGCCTAAGGGTGGGCAAACCACTCTAGAGCTCTAGAGACCCTCTACAACACTCCATACGTAGGATGGGCTGCCAGATAAAATCCAGCCAATCCAGCCAATTCTGAATTTTAGATTAATAACAAAGAATTTTTCTAGTATAAATATGCCCCAAATTTTGAAAATATCTTATCTGGCAACCATCTGGTGGAGACAATATTTATTCACCTGCGACCGCACGCTGGGCCCTTTAACTTGAGTGTTCCCAGGTAAACTCACAACAAACCTGTGAGGCAGGTATTACTATCCACATTTTACTGATGGGAGAAGCTGAAGCTCAAAGTGGTAAAGTCAGTCTCCCAAGGTCATAGAAGTGGCGGAGGTGAGATGCAAACCCATCCCCCTGCTCCAAGCCCATTTCTTCTCCCTACCACATTCTCTCATTCCAACTGGGAAACAGAGCTCCAGGAGGCGAGGTGGCTTGCACTGTCACACAGGGAACAATGGGACAAACACAGCCCATCCTCATGTCCCAAAACACTGAACTCTGTAGTGAGCTTGCTGGAAGCTGCCATAAAGGTCACGTAGTTCAGCTTTCCAGTGGAGAGGAGCAGAGCCTCTAGTCTCACTGCCAGCCAGAGGCCCACAGCCTGAGGCGCAGGTGTCTGGGTGCTCAGAGTCACAGGTGTATGGGTCACTTCCTCGCTTCAGAGTCTGTTTTGTCCTATTTCTGACTCAGAGCTGTAAGATCCACCCAGCGAAGTGTGTTTGTGTGTGTGTGAGTGCATGTGTGTATGTGATATGTGTGCACATATACAGTTGTGGTATGTTTGGTGTGTGTGGTATGCTGTGCATATTTGAAGCATCTATGGTGTGAATGTATGTACGATGTATGTTGTATGTGTTATGTGCATGGTATGTGTGCTATGTGCATATTTTATATGGCATATGGTGTGTGCATGTGGGTGTGTGCTGTATATGGGTGTATATGGTATATGTTGTGTGTGTTGTGTATATGTCTGTATGGTGTGCATGGTGGGTGACATGTTGCTTAAGGTATGTGTGGTGTGTGTGTATGGCATATGGTGTGCATAGTGTGTGTAATGTATGTTTGGTATGCATGTATGTGTGTGGTGTGTTTGTGCAAGTGTAGGTATCTTATGAGGTGTGTGCCATATGTGCTGTGGTGTGTACATGTAATGTATGTTTGGTATGTATATTTGCGTGTGTGGTGTGTTTTGCGCAAGTGTATGTATCTTATGAGGTGTATGTCATATGTGGTATGGTGTGTGTGTGTATGTGTGTGTGTGTGTGTATGTGTGTGTTATGTAGGGGCGGGGTGTACACAAACACAAGTGTGTGTGGAGGGAGGGGCATCTTAGGTGTTGCTGTGGGCGGGACACAGAGGGCTGCCTTCACATGGAAAGCTGCTTGTGTTCCTGCCACTGGGCCAAAGCCAGGCCACACAGGTCTGAGCAAACAGTGTGGTTCGATTAGCTGCTTCCCCACCCACCCAGGTCAGTGGGTTCGGGCTGGGTGGGGGGAAGGTGCTAATATCCAAACCTTGAACCCAGGACCTTTGTGCCCATTAAGCCAGTGTGTGTCACCTGCTGACCCACACCATGAAGTGGGTGGCACTGCCCCCAGGGGCTAATAACAGCACCTTCTCTATTCACTCCCAATCTCATATCTTAAAACTGCATTCTCGGCCCTTCCTGGATTGCTGGCTCAGGATGGGTGGCTTGGACCTCCGTTGAGAATGGCACAGCCCCCATCCCCACTCCAAGTCCTGTGCCACTCTACCCTGGGACCTGGGGCAGTGCCTCCAGACTCCAGAGGGATGGGTTCTGTATCTCAGAGTCAAGGAGTATGCACACCCAGAAGACTGTCAGTGTTGGGATGAGAGGTGAAAGAGGGAGATTGCAACTTCTGGGAGGGTCTTGTTTTGTAAGCCCTGTCATCACACCCTCTCCAGGTTGCCTTGCCCAGGTTCCGTATTTAATGAGACTTTTGTGACACTGTACAAGTCTCTGGCCCTCTCATTATACCGATGAGTGGATGGACTGCCCCTGCCTTCATGGGGGTTCTGACCAAGGCCTGGAAAGAACTGAAGGGGTCAGGAGTCTGTGGAGAGAGAACAGGTCTAGAACAAGCTGAAATGTGAGCAGGGATAGTTCTGACCAGTTCTCCCTGCCTCAAACTCTAAGCAAATGTTAGCACTCCAGGACTCCCTGAGGGGATTGGGGGCAGTGGGTCAACCAGAGTATTAAGACCAACCTCCTCTGAGGGCCCTGCCAGCAGGTACTGGAGACTGTCAGAGAGATCACAAGTGCCTGTGTCCGTACATGCAGCACCGGGACACAGTCCTGAGTGGGGGCACAGATCCCCGCAGTTCGAACAGTTCCTCCATCTGGGCACTATTGATATTTTGGAACAAATAGTTCTTTTCTTCCGGGGCTGTCCTAGGCATTGTAGAAAGTTTAGTAGTATCTAAACCTCCACTCACTAGGTGACAATGACATGTCCCTCCCTTCAGGTGTGACAACCAAAAAATGTCTTTACATAATTGCCCAGTGTCCCCTGACAATGGCAAAACCATCCTCCATTGAGAACCACTGATTTGGAGCCAAAAGAGCATATATGATATATATATTTTTCTGGTTGTGCCTTTCTTTTTGTTTGTCCTATGTCTTTCTTTGTTTCCCATAGTTATTCCTTTCTTACTGCTTCTGTCACTGTACAATAGTATCTCTACAACCTTGTTCATGCATGTGTGTGGAGGGCTGTGCATGCACATGGTGTGTGTCTGTCTTATTCGGGTTGTGTATGGTATGTATTGTGTAGTGTGTGTGCCGTGGTATGAGGTGTATGTGGGGGATGGCATGGGAGGTGAGGTATGTATGCATTGTGTGGTGTGTGTGTTGTCTTGTACTGGGTATGTGTGGTATGCATGTGTGTGTGTTGTGTGTATGGCATTGTGTGATGTACTAGTATAAGTTGCTTATGTTATCTGTGTTGTATGTGTGTAGTGTACACATGTGTATTGTGCTGGTATGTGGTGGTGGTGGTGTGTATTGTGTTTGTGTGTGGCATGTGTAGGTGTGTGTTGTATGAGTTATGTGTGGTGTGCATGAGCGTGCTGTATGAGTTGTGTGTATGGCATGTTTGTGTGTAGTGATGGTGTGTATTGTGTGTAGGTGTGTGGCATGTGTGTGTTTTGTGTGAGTTGTGTACATGGTGTGCATGAGTTATGTGTAAGTTGTTTGTGTCTATGTGGTACATGTTGTTTATCTGTGGTGTATGTGGGTGTATGCTGTATGAGTTGTGTGTGTGTTGTGTTTGTGTGTATGGTGTGTGTAGGTATGTTGTATGAGTACTGTGTGTGGTGTGCATGAGCATGTTGTGTGTGTATTATTTGTGTATATGTACCTGTGTCTATGCCTGAGTGGTGTCTCTTGGGAACCCTAGATTTCTTCTGTCCTTTCTCTTGGTGTTACCAGCCCGCCCTCTCACCCAGGTCCTCTTGAAGGCGTTTCCTCAGCTCTGGTCATGAGCAGGGCTGGTGAGGCAGGCCCAGGGGCTGCGAGGATGGAACCAACACAGGGCATGAGGTCAAAACCACTGCTCACTCAGCTTGGAGTTTGTTCCAGTCACTGGGTTCACAAGCCCTGGGTGCCAACTCACAAAGCCTGCACAGCAGCTGGTCACAAACACCACAAGCACCTCCCAGGGGCTGGGAGCACAGTGTCCTGCTGATATCTGGCTGGGACCCAGGAAACTGGGCTCTCATGCTAATTCTGTCACTCCAAGTGGCACTTTGTGCTGAAACCCTCCAAGGTCCTTTTCTACTCAAACATCCTGTGAGTCTAAAGAAATATGTCACGTGTGCTTCCAAGTACACACAAAATCACTGCAGCTTTCACAGGTCAAGAGATCCAATTTGTTGCAGAATCATCGTGCACTTTTTCCCAAACGCGACTTCAGTTTTTAATTCCCCTGTCCATCTTAGTTGTTAGTTGTAGACCACCCCTTAGCCCCACGCCTTCATTTCCTACAACCCCTCTAAGACCCTGCACCCTTAGGGATGTTGTGTATGGAGTTTCCGACTCCATAGGCTTCCTTGACAAGATCTGAGAAAGGGGCAAGAGGAAGGTGGTTGAAGAGCTGAGTTGGTGGTGGAAATGGGACATGGGGCAGACAAAGGCCACAACAAACCACATCATGCTGCAGTTTCACCTTCTATATGTGTGCTTATGCACGGTGTATTTCATGCTGGATCGAATCGATTTGTCATAGCAGTGTTTTCAA